TAATTAAAGTTAAAATCTTGCTTTCTAACCGATCTATTCGTGTACGGGACCGGCAACTCTCTTTACTTAAAAAGAAAATCTACAGTGCCGTTATACACATGCATGTTGTCTGCTTGGAGTCCCCGCCGTGAAAAGAAAGAAATAGCCCGAACTCCAAGATAATATATTCCTGCATCACGTGATTTTTACCACGTGGGGCCAACATTAGAATAAATACCGAATATAGAAAGTGAAACTACAATTCAAAACATAAAGTCCGAAGGCACATAGAAAAAAAAGAAGATTTTTTTTTTGGCAAAGGGTGCCGGGGGTACCTCTCTGTGTTCAAAATATACATAAAATATTTGCCACTGCATCTTGTCTGTTTTATGAATTCTAACCCTGAGTTTTCTATCTGTTACTTGTCGAGTACACTAGGTAAATTTTTGTTCTAAAATAAAATGCATTATGCACCGACCATTCATACCTAGTGTGTTGGGCGGATGTTTGAAGTCAATTGTTGATTCTTATTTCTTAAAAAAAGAATTGTTGGTGTCTTAGCAATCATACCATATCTTTTAAAAGTACACGAGAAAGGGTAAAATTGTTTCTATGGATGAGTATGTATCGAAAAGCTCTAAAATTAGGTATTTGATTTCAGGTTTACACTACATTCAACCGTGCAGGGCTGTGTACATCGCACAAATCAATATTGTCGAATATTGACAACATATGTGAAAGTTTTGACCTGCCAGTGAAGAAATGGGCTATTAAGGTTGCAGAGATGCATAACAAAGAAAATAGTACCATGAAGGACTGAAGCTTAGGTACATGACTCGTCGTAACTATTTCCAAATTATAAACAAAATATGCTGCTCTATGTGGTGACTGAGAATAAATCATACATGTAGTTAATGTAAACTACATAATTTTCCTCGGAAGGCTATATGCCGCTAGAGGGCGCATAATTATTCGAATTACCGTAAACAAAGTTTGTGCTAAACAGGAATCATCTTATTATTTTTATATTAATTTTTAATTATGCTGGTTTTATTTCGCCAATAGCCTTCTTCATTTAAGAGGTGAAAAAGTGAAGAAATAAAATTAAAAATGCAAAATCACCTTCAATGTCCTCTATGACAATGGTGTCCGTCGATTTCAAACAAAATGATAAGGTTCGGCTGTACGGTTTTATCACTTACTATTTTTAATAGAAGTTAGGAAAGTTTTGTCCGATCGATTCTTAAGAAAATTCGAATGTATTGATTTACTGTGCAGTGGAAACTATTATTTCATGATACAAATTCCATAAATATGGACATTTCATAGACAAGAAGTTTGAGTCAGGCTGTGGTCAATCAAGATCCCCAGCCAAAAAAGAGAGAAAAACAACACTCTAGATGTCATTAGCTAGGTTGATTGTGTCGTTAAATTGTTGTCTCATTGACGAATATTCCACAAGTTTGAACTTTTACATGTAAATCTTTTCAGGATAAATCATGACTTAAAGGGTTATTGAGTATAGATTAATTGCTTTTAACACATGACAAAGATAAAAGCTCTTTGTTCTTACTGTGCTATAATCTGGATAATACACAGCTAAGGTGTGCATTTACTACCTCAGATCAAAATTACTCTAACCTTTAGAGTTTGTCTGTTTGTCTTTTTCATTTTTAACCATGGCGTTGTCAGTTTATATTCGACTTATGAGTTTGAATGTCCCTTTGGTATTCTTTGCCTCTATTCAAAAAGGAAGGGGGTGGGGTCAAGAATTTGTCAAAGGGGGCGTAACTCTATAAAATAGAAGAAATACCACCGAATGTAACGAGGCTTAAAACAATTTTGACGATTTTATGTTAGAATATGATATATTTTAATCAAAGTGGTGGATGCCCACTTTACAACCCCCTTTTTAATCCGCCACCGAACTTGAAGCTACGACATAGTTGACAATTTTGTACAAACTTCGTCGTTTCGTAATATGAAATAAAAAGTGTTTCTCATTCCTTATATTAGGACTCTTAAAACAGTGTTTCAAAGTCAACCAAGATAATATATTTTTTTGTAATTTATGTCAAAAAAGAAATATATTTTAGAATATCAAAATAAATGAAATCTGATTTGGATAATTTTGTGCTCAGTTGAATTTATCATGACTTTTTAAATATTTATTCCTTTATTGACTATTTTGGGATCAAATTTAATGAGGTTCATATTTAAGTATGTGCCAAAACAGGTGGAAAAATAAGCTGAAGATCAATCAGACTTCGTTTAGATGCGACAAATCTTTAAAATTAATACATCAGAAAAATTGTTGGGGGAGAGGGGGAAGTTAAAGATTGGAAAAAGAAACTTTTTTCTGTTTACTTTACACTATTAATTTAGTTACATCTCTCCTCGGTTCATCTTCCTCTAAGCAAATTCTTGAGGGACAGAAAATAAATCAATATATACTCAATTACCCTTTCAGTTATGATTTGTCACAAACCGATTTAAAAGTACATCAAACAAAACTAAATCTATAGGAGATGTAGGTTATATGTCAATAAGACATCAATCAAGACAAAAAACGACCTAGGACATCTAGAGAGCAACAATAGAAAGGTGTCTATACAATATATCAAGTTCTTATTATAAATTACCAGGACACAATTGAGAATAAATTTAACAAAAATCTGCCATTAAATCGCAATATTCGAAATAAGAAGTAGCTTGAATATAAAAGAAGTCAATAATTTAAAAGTTACCAACCTTTTACTACATAAAGGCGTATTTCCCCCTTTCTTTAGCCTTCAAGAGAATTTTCCTAGGAGCCGTGGATTTCGGAATATCGTCCGCATACTTCCAAAACGTTCATGTGAATTGATTGCGTCATGTGTTAAAACAGTTATATTGGCCAATCAAATCGGTATATATCATTTAATCTGCACGCTCGGAATGACCATTTACACCCGGACTCCTACATCGTTCGGGTCAAGTAGGATCACCCGAGCCGTGCAGACTAAATGACTTATACCGATTTGCTTGTTCAATAACTATTACTTCTTTCTCTCAAGAATATTCACGAAGGAAGATTAATCGAAGAGAGGTTTGTCTAGTTTTTTTGTGCAAAATAAAACGAAAAGAAAAACGTGATACTTTTCATTATTTAACCTCCCCTCTTTTTCCTCCATTTGGCAACCAATTTTGATCACATGTCGCATCCCAACGAAGTCTTTTGGTCTGCATTTTATATATATTTTTCTGTTTTGGTACAAAACTTAATATAAACCTCTTTAGTTCTATTTTTAAAAAGTGGTAATAAATTTTATTGAGCATAAAACTAATCCAAATGAAATTTTATTTTTTTGGATTTTCAAAAACTTGCAATTATCTTTTGGCAGAAATTTTAAAACAAAATAGTTATCTTGTTTGACCTGATTTAGTATAAACATTGTACACAAAATATCATAAAATGATCCCAGTTTTAGAAAGGAGCAACTGTTTAACCACCTTTATTTGATTTCATATTTCGCTGGAAACGATAAAGTTTGTACAGAGTTGTTGGTCGATCAACTATGTCGTAATTGTAAGAGTACACTTGACTGTGCAGTATATCCGAGGTAGTAAATGTACACCTTAGCTGTGAGTTATCTAGATTAAAGCAGAGTAAGAACAACGAGATTTTTCCTATTTCATATGTTAACACCTTTTCATTGTCCCATTAATGCATTTATTTCTGATATATTCTGGTTTACATATGTATATTTATTTACTTGAGTGATGATGCCTTTCCTCGAATGCTTAATATATGGTGCTCACACAGTACAAGTTGTACAGTGGTATTGCGATGGTATATCGCGACCGCGGTCTCAGTTTCCCTCCAAAATATCGTAAACATGACACTGTTACTGTTAATCCCCCATCACACTAGACCAAGACCATGAAGATCCCACTGCGATCTATTAAAAATTAAGATCGCGGTGAGATCGTGGTATGTTCGGCTTGAATATTCAATATTTCATAGTTTTCATGTTCATACCACGACATGGTTTGATCCTGATAAGATCCTGCTACGATTCCGCTACGACAGTGACACGTTCTAGTTGCGATCTTGTCACGCTCTTGCTACGTCTAATTAGACCTTACCACGACTTTCACGATCTCTGTACGCTTCTACCAAGACCTTCCCGATCACATTACGATCTAAATACGAGTTTACTACGATCTAACCACGACTCCACTACGTTGTCACTTCCCTCTTCGTCCCATATATTCACCAGTTTCCTTGAGAAAACATGCCACTAAAGGTACCAAAAACACTTAGAGGTCGTGGTGCTAAATGTAGAGGTATCAACAGAATGAGGTCGTAAAATTATCGTGGCTAGGAAGTAGTAGAATCGTAGTGAGGTCGTACTGAGGACGACAAGCACGTAGTAGCAGCCTATTATTATCTTCCTCATCATAGTATAATCGTATCAATATCGTAGTAGAAGCGTAATAAAGACATAGTAAAATCGGGATAGTCGCAGTGAAATCGTAATAAGGTCGCAGCGAAATATTTTCCATTGGCTTTCCCGATTGCACCACATTTCCAATACGATGCTTCTATGCCCATTCAGATCTTTCTATGTCCTTGCTACGACCTTTCTACGCTTCTACTACGACTAGTTTTGGCCACGACTGCACTACGAATGTTTTGAGCATGTTCAAAGTTGGTCGTGAACCTCCACGATCATGAAGACTTGGCACGTCCTTACTACGACCTTACCACGACCACACTACGACTTCCAAAATTATTCATAATTTTTGAGGTCGTAGCGGGATTGTGGTCCTAGTGTGATGGGGGTATTACTGTTACTGAAATTGTTATTTTACAATATATCTTTGAATATATATATATGATAATTGTAAATACTTTCCCTTATATATATGTCGTGAAATATACGTATTTACTTTTTTTTTTTATTAAAATATCTATTCAAAACTTTATATCGACAGGTATTTATGTTTTCTTATATTGGCATAAATAAAGTAAACACTTAAAGTAATGTTTTTTTTATTACAAAAGAATATGATTATAAATCAACAGATTTCTACAAAAAAGTGTGACAAGATTTATGTGGTTCATGATTGAGCCAAACATTTTGCTTGGATATCGAATAATGTTGTGACGTCCAATTTTCCCAAGATATTTCAAAGTACTTAATTTGCAAAATAAATACTGAAATATAGGTAGAACGCTATAGACCTATGCATATTTTACCTCCGTTATCTTTTTATTATGTTTATTCTTGAGATATAAGAACAAAAATTCATTTAAGCAGAATTAGAGATAGACCATTTCAACGCTAGCTAACTTTGACCGGAAAATATACACACAACAATATTCAATTCACACAACGATTTGCAGTACAGTTATAATCAGAATAGATTAAATTGAGATAAAAAATAATTAATGGAAAACAATTGTACATGAGTTACATATGCGTTTTGAACAGTAATTATAAGCAAAGATATGAATAATATACAAAAAGGATAACAGAAATTACAAAAAATATTAGACAGTACAACAGATCAAGCCAACCAACAACAATCACATGGTCTAAATAGCTTGACTTGGTACAGGCCTAAACATGTGGGGCAGTTAAGATCAGTTTAACGTGCAAACCAACCTCTCCCATAGCGTATCTAGACCATTTGTATTAAAAGGAAAGCATTTACTTGAGTAGATCTCTAATATAGTTTAAAAAAGATTTTAAAATAAGTCAACAATTATAAAGGCCTGGTTATTAGTCGTAATTTAAAAATCTACAAAGTAAAAAATGTTGATATTTACCGACATCTACAAAACCAACAGAACTACGGAAAACTACCAGGTACACCTGGAGATATAGAAAAATCCTTAAAAATGAATACCTCCATCGAAAATTTTACAAAAATCAACTGGCCAAATCTGCATTAATTCTTCAAGAGTACAATTTTAACTTCATGCAACGCGGTAAAAAATGTCTATTAAGTTAAATTGTGAGACACGTAAATATGTTAGATGAATATGTACACACTGAAATCGGTATTCCGTGTTAATGGTGTATAATTGTTTTGGGTTGTTTAGCAAGCGAGTTAATTTAAGATTTCTGATTTGATATATAATGCTTAAAAACCAGCAGCACATAATTGTAGTAAATACTTGATACGTAAATTATTCTCAAGTGAAAAAAATATATTTTGAGACAGTACATAAAAATAAAGCATATATATAATTACAACATCCAGTAAAAAGTTTTGATTAAAACTTTGAAGGTGAAATGATAAAAGCCATTGTCTGACCCCGAAAATGCAAAAATTTAAATCATTTAAGCCTATCAAACATGATTTGCTAGAGCCAATTGTGACTATGATGTCATAAACATGTCCAAAATGACATATCTGATCTAAAATGGCAATTTTACAGATAGATTTTGGACACATATATATAGGCTACGGCCTTGCACAAAAAAGATTTTTACACGTGTAAACAACGTTATAAACTACTGTAACATTTTGTAGCAAATGATCTTTTTGGGGAAAGCATTGGTTCACGATAAGATCTAAAAACGAGGCTATTTGGGTATTTTTGGCAGTATTGAAACCTTAATGCCAATATGTAAGACAAAAATACTGACATCTGAAGCAAACTAAATATTATTGTTATATACATATACACATTCATGGATCTACAATCTGTCGATACCTGTATCTTGGCATTGCACAAGGTCATGTTTGTCTCTGACTGTTTATGACGTCTTTACACTAAATCCATTGGATGTTGGATGTGTAAAGATTGATAATTTAGTCTTAGATGCATGCTTTTTTTATTAGTTGTTAGTGGCTTTGAACTAGCTGCCAGGTACTGCGAGTACTCTCAGATCTGTACTTAGTGTCTTTTTGTTGTTTGGATGTACAAAAATACCCGGCCACGTCCACTTGTATTTGTAGTATTTGTATTTTTATCCATCTGATGAGTTAAGCCTCTGTCAACTGATTTTTATAGTTCGTTCTTATGTTGTAGTGTTACACAACTGTCCCAGGTTAGGGGGAGGGTTGGGATCCCGCTAACATGTTTAACCCCGCCACATTCTGTATGTATGTGCTTGTCCCAAGTCAGGAGCGTGTAATTCAGTGGTTGTCGTTTGTTTATGTGTTACATATTTGTTATTCGTTTATTTTTTGTACATAAATTAGGCCATTAGTTTTCTCGTTTGAATTGTTTTACATTGTCATTTCGGGCCTTTTATAGCTGACTGTGCGGAATGGGCTTTGCTCATTGTTGAAGGCCGTACGGTTACCTATAGTTGTTAATTTCTGTGTCATTTGGTCTCTTGTGGAGAGTTGTCTCATTGGCAGTCATACCACATCTTCTTTTTTATATCTGAAGTAAGTTTTTGAAAGCTTTAAAATATTTTTTTTTATTCCCGAATTCAAGTTACCAACAAAGTGGACTTATCATACCTTCTGCTTTGAAATATGCTATATAATGAACAAATCGAAACTGTTAATAGCGACCATAGATTTAAATAGTATGACTATCTATATCTATTTCAAATGCTATAACCCATTTAATACTATGTATGTAAAAGCTGTGCTTGAATTGCTGTCTTTTATAATGAGATAGACCAGAATTTACACAAATCTCTTGTATAAAAAGAAAACAGGCACATTTGAAATATGAAAATCCTCAAATTCAAAAGTGTTTGTCTTGCCAGACAAAAAGTAATCACACGCAAAATTTCGAAACAGATATGCAATTGAAAGGGGAATTAAAGATATTGCAAAAGGTCGACATACTCTAAAGAAGTCTATGCCAATGTGCATACATTACTAAAACATATTTTGTATGTCACATTTAAAAACTAAAATATGATAAAATTATTTGACATAAATCTGATATGGCTATTACCATATCTTGCGAACATAAGATAATAAGCACTAAAAAGTGAAATAACAAAAATACCGAACTCCGAGGAAAATTCTAAACGGAAAGTCCCTAAGCAAATGGCAAAATCAAAAGCTCAAACACATCAAATGAATGGATAACAACTGTCATATTCCTGACTTGGTACAGGCATTTTCTTATGTAGAAAATTGTGGATTAAACATATCGACAAAAATTAAAATAGTGACTTTACAAGCAATTGGCGAATTCAACGAAAAAGCTTTTTTCAAGTATATTCTTTTTCTATCAATGTCTCTTATGCCCCATACAACACTTGTAAAACTTCCAGACATTTTAATTTTGATTTTTGCTTAATGTTTAAATTTTAACAAATTAAAGCCAAATATATGAATTTCATCTTTAGCTGTCTTTTTTTATTCAGCTTGTTAGTCTATGGTTTGCTGTCTCATTGTCAAGTATTCTCTTCTCAAAAAGAAAGTTGTCACCCATGGAACGGTTGAAAAAAAAAACGTTTTCACAATAATACAACTGGTTGCATATTTTTATATACTGCACTCTGACAGTTTTAGTGAAAATATTCTAAAAGATGAAAAATCTTGAAAATGAGCACGAATACAACCTTATTTATAATCTAGTCGTAGGTGTCTGCGGAACAAAAGTATTGTTATTATGAGTAAATAATACCACGACTAACAGTAAAACAATACATGTAAATACATTGCAAGTTGATCATTTATAATAGAGATACAATTGCAATTTTAGTGACCAAGTCACAACTTCGATTGACCCGTCGCACAAAGCGCGTCATTTCACTTCCAAAAGACGTACATCAGACTATTAAGATTTTGTAATGAAGTGACATATATCAAAATTATAATCAAATCAAATCAGATTATTTATAGTTTAAAATCCAAGTATTGGATTGTTACCAAGACATACCTGACATACAAATGACAATATTTACAAACATACAAAATTCGAATTAACAAACATTAATTATATATAAGTATATCATATATTTAGATATTTCATTTTAGCGGAGGTGGTATTTTTGTAAATTTGAAAATAAAAGTACAATATTCCTCATACATTTGTTATATATAATAAACTAATATAGTAATGAAAACAGGGATGTTATTTTTGTGGTATACTAACTAATTCATTAAGCCTAAATAATTATTGTTTTTAAAAAATATAACCAAGAAAAATATTAATAATATTCTCCAGCCTTTATGACATGTTGATATCTAATTGTAATAATAAATAATAAACTAGCAGACATTTAAACAACAATAGAACAATTTTTAATTAGTTTTCTAAAGTGACTTTTACAGGACAGATCTGTTGACCGTCTGCTTATATTTGATTATCTATTTACATCCTATAAGTGTGTTCGTCTGCTTGCATTTGATTCACGTATAACATTATGTACACAACGTCCATCTTTCTTGAAACACATAAATATTGACTAATACTAAATAAAACGACAATCTTCTGGAAAACAGCTGTTTTGTTTTGCCTTGGTTCTTGGTTCTTGCTAATCATTCTAGAACTATGACTACTAACAGTGATATCAACTAATGATAATGATGACAATACACACAATTATAGTTATTATACATTGGAAGAAGGAAGAATGAATCCATGTTAAAATTCACTAACTAGACTCACACTGTTGCTATCTATGAAACTTTATCTTTTATACAAATTTTAGGGTTGTTTAATATCTATATTCATTTCAATGCGTTAATTATGAAAATGAAAACTTGCAACCAGTAAAAGAATTGCATACAATTTCAGTGTTGAATTTGGGATTATTTCGAAATACTTAAATGCTGTTTGAGTAAATTAACTTAAAGTATTGACCGATCATGAGTTTATACACTTTATTATGAACTATTACTATCAAACTTTCATTTTCAATAATTTTTGGGATACGAACAAATCCAATTCTTAGAAATAATTGTAAATGAAAAAAAAAATGAAATGCTTCAACGAATAGATTTATATTATACCGTTATTATACATTTCAATACCATTAACTTTCCAGCGGCATTCCAAATTAATCGCCTTACATATTTGTCACAACTAGCAGAACCTACATATTGTATTATTATTGTGAATAGTTTCCTTTCCTGAATAGGCATGCAGTAATCAACACTGGACCGTAAGCAAGTTACACTTGTAAAATTCATATATAAGTAAACAAATATTTATAACAGTAACTATGCTATTATCAAATCTTTTTTACATTGATGGTTATTTAAAATGACAATCAGGCAACTGTAATGACACAATCAAAGTTTTTTTTGGTCAGAAATATAGTCTATCAAATAGAAATTACTTGTTTTTATGTAGAAATCATGATATTAAAAAACACAAGTTGATTCTCATATAATATGGTGAATTAAAAAAAAAGCATTCTATAATGTAAGATAAAATAAACACGTTAATAATAACATGGTCATCGAAATGATCAGAACAAAATATGTACATATGGGTAAACAAATATTTTTAAAATGCTACCCAATTTGTTATCTATATGACAAAGGAATAAAAAATTGAGTACATGTAGTCTACAAAAATATTTCTAACACAGACTAAAATTTCACATATTTGACAAATCGTTTTGTTTTTATTCAGTCAAATGCAAATATGTGTAATGCATATGAATTTTTACCTGTATAATTTTGAAGTTGATCCTCGCAAAAGTACAAAGTACACGTATAATTATTTAGAGCAATGGTTTTCTTATGACCTGAAAGTTCCTTTGGTTTTTCGACCTCTTCGTTTTTGTTGCTCTTTTGGTCGGTTAGTTTTGTATGACGATGCTATATCTGCTATTCTTATATCTTTCAACTTTGAAGCCTGAAAGAGTATATTGTAAAACTGCTATTTAAAATCATAAAAAATAATAAAAACAAATGCAGGTAAAATTATATATTGATAAGGGAGCTGTTTTTTTCTGTAAGAAATATTGTGTTTCACTGTACTACCTCAACATTCGAAATACCAAACGAAAGACAGAGAACATATATCGTGTGCCTAATCGTTAAAAAGCCCAGATGAACAGAATAAAAATGATAAAGCTATGTTTCTTGGATCAAAGATTATTTTATCAATATGTCAAAATCTAAGCCGATCAACTGATATGACAGCCATTTCGATAAATTAATGTTATCCATGTATATAATTGGCTGATTTCTACCATTTAGTTGTTTAATGAATAGCTGAGAGATCACATGATGTGAAAGAGAGGCGAAAGATACCAGAGGGACATTCAAACTCATAAGTCGAAAAAATAAAATGACAACGCCATGGCTAAAAAAGAAAAAGACCAACAGACAAATAATAGTACACAAAACAAGTTTCGTTCAAGGTTTCTTAATCATGCTGTTAAGTTAATCAAATTCGAGCTGATATTTGAGATATATATTTATACCTTCGATTTATCGAATAACTGCCATCTGCCGATAAATGAAGGACTTTTAGTTAATGGCTTGTGCTTCATGGTAAGTTTTGTTAGTTTATAAAGAACATGTGCAATTCAAACATAAAACAAATTGAAAAGAGACTGTTGGCAGCCTTATCACTTATAATTGAACTACAGATAATTCGACACTTTCTTAGCAGTATTCATATGTAAATTCAACACCATCTTTATTTTCCATTTATCATTGCCAGCCTGTATAGTTAAGTTATCAAATAATGATTAATCACCTCTATGGCTTTCCTCACTAGCTGTACACTATCATATATGTTCTCCACCAGAATCTGGCTAGACACAATGTCTTCTAAAGGCTTAGAACTTTCACCAACCATTACTTGACCTTTGACCAAATCACCCTCCCACCAAAGATCCTCATCTAAGATGTAATCAATTAAAGGCTGGTCTAATCGTATGTCCTGGCCCTTTAATGACAGACATCTATGGACGAATACTTTCAATGTGTGATCTAATTTTTCCAGGTATTTAATGTTGTCTTCCTGAGCTGTCGATAATCTATCCCTATCATCTTTACGTACCTGTTTTCGATATTGCAATTCTAACGAATCGACAACAATGTCTCCGTTAATTTCCTCCAACCACCTATACATGTCCACAATATGACACAATCTAACATCCTCTGGAAATATGTTCCTAAAAACGCCAGACACCATCCCAGTTACAGTTTTATATTGCTCTAGATAATCGACGATAGGTAAATCGGCAGTCACATCTGATTTAGCTCCAATTTTTCTCAATAAAGAAAGCACCATGCCAATATGTGTCAAAAGGTTACTAATGAGTGCTGTATCGGTTTCTTTCTTTTTTTCAATATTCTTTTTTACTTCATTTGATAGACGATCTTGTTCAATATCGCACTCTATTGCTTTCAGCAATTGGACGCTATTGTGATATAAATCATCTGTAAACATAACTGTTGGTATAGTTGGAATGTGAATTACAGATTTTCCTACGAGTACTTCGGCCTTAATCTCTTTTTCAATTCTTTCCAAATCAAAACTAATTGATTGTGCTAGACCATAACTAGTATCACACTGACAATACTGCAACCATTTATCCTGCCATTCAAACGTAATGAGATCTTTCCTTTTCAGATCTAACAACGATATTGCTTTATCTTTGATTTCAGGTTGATTTAGTGTTTCTGAGTTCTTACTGTTTGGCAAAGAAGAGGTGGCTTCATGTAAAATGGTATTTTGAATTTCACATAAGGAAATAAGTATTTTCTTTAAAACAGATTGATCATCAAGAATAGCACAGGCTCCCATCTTGACTGTAGGACACATTAATTCTATGTTCTCTATAGTATGATTTGAACCAAACATATTTATATTTTCAACCGATTTTATGTTGTTCCAAGTTTCCATGAAATCATCAAATGCTTTTCGTAAAATGTCACGACGTGTATCATCTGTTTCTCCGCTAATGAATTTGTCGCAAGTCATATCCTTAAATTCTAGTTTCCTATATCTGTAGCTACCGTATGTTATCACACATAAATGCCATCGTATTAGAGGCATAATATTTTGTGGCAATGCTAGTTTGTTTATATTTTTCAGTACAAGACCAAGCAAGCCACACATTGACTTATTTTCTCTTAATTCAATATCTGTTATAAGCAGATCTAAGGTAGGTGATGCAGGTGATCGAAAAAGCAAAACGGCATTTGAAAAGTCAACATCATAATGACATGGAACAATTTCAAGAACACAGTCTTCAATCGATTTGCTTTTATCTGTTTCAAAAGAAAAGTCAGCACGTCTCATGTTTTGAAGATGCATTATTCGATTTCGAAGAACCTTTTCAATTATAAGTGTATGACTTGTCAGAAGATCTTCGATGCAATTTTCAGATAAACATATTTTGTTCTTTCCCATTAACAAATCTTTTGACAAAAATAAAATTCTGTGAAGTAATAAGCAGATATCACCAAAGCTTAATTGCAAAATATTCTTCAGATTTTGCCAATAATGTACTAATTGTTCGACAACAATTTCAGAAACTTTTATTTCAGACATTTTTTGAAACTGTGTTACGCCAACCGCTTTTAAAACAACTTCCCCTGACATTTTAAAGAAATCCTTAAAATTTTCTTCTTCTGCCAATCCAAAGCCAAGACAACTTATTATTGAACTATACATAAGGATCTGTAGAACATTAATGCTTACTGGCTGTATTTTCGTCAAAATTTTGGACCAATCTTCCATTTTATGTAATGAACAAATATCCAACAACGGTATGAACAGTTTTGTGAATTCTTTAGGGGCTTTGAGTAGTTTATACCATATGTTTTCTTTGCATCCACCAGACACAATTGCTCCAGTCATATGTAACATTATTGAAACCATGTGGGGAATAGGAGGCATAACTGCGACTGATAATTCAAATATGTTAAGTTTAAATTGTGTTCCCCCTAAAAGATGAGAAAAGATCAACTTCATATCAGATGAAAAGTTAGATTTCTCAAAAATTAATCCAAGACGAGAAGCTAGTTCATGTTCACTGTCTGTGCTCTCTTTTAAACATTTATGCATGTAAAACTTTTGTGCAATAACACACAACAAAATAAATGTGTTATCAGATGGTTTAGATATAATGTCAAGAAGTTTATTAGTATTTTGTTTAATTGTTGCCACTTGTGTAAGGCAGTTGTAATACTGATCTTGATCGACGTACTGGCAAAACGGATTGAAAACTTGATACATCCCTACTCGATCTGTATTCCACGAAACGGCATGTAAAGCTGGTATTGATTGCCCTATTCTGCAACAAATATACTCTATGTTTTCCTGACCTGATATTTTTTCAAATGTTTTCAAAATGAAATGAAGTAGCTCACTGGTCAGCAAGTAGGTGAACGTATTTCCTTCTGTTATACACAGGAGAGAATTTACATGAGCAGACAATAATTCTACTGTTGAAGTATCATAGTTGTTTGACTTTAATATGTCTGCATATGTTTTCAAAAATTTTCTTAAAAATGCAACGGCCATGACGCTTTGAATAGAAAGGATGCCTTCGCTGGCTTTTTGAAAAGCATATGATAAATAACCAAGAAGTTCACAAGAACTTGAATTCACGCTACGTATCATTTCAGCATCAAGATTTACTGCATATTCCTCCAACACGTCCGAAAGCAATATAGGAAAGGCCATGTTCTTTTCATCTGAAAAGTCTAAAGCAGTGAGATATTCATCAAAACACGTTGCAAAAGAAACATCCTCTTCTTCTTCAAAGCTGTCAGAAAGAAGATCCATATAGGGATTTTTCTCATCCTCCTCAACGTCTATCATCACTGCAAATTTCAAGATTTGTCCAAAATGACTGAGCTGTTTATCAAAAATATCCCCTTTAGAGACTTTTGCGAGGACAAAATTTAATGGTCCGTCGTTTTCAGAGTTCGAAACCAGACATCTGACTATGTACGAACAGAATAACTTTTGCAAGACAAATGGGTTAGCCTTGTTTTTGCATTTGATGTCGGATAAAACATCAAAGAGGAAACAACACAATTCTTCGGTGTCAATTTTTCCATCGCAATTTGATATTATATTTCCGATTTTAAGGATATAATCAGTGGGAGTCACATCTATCGACAAAAGTGTTTCAGAAATTTCTTGACATAGTTTAACAGCAACGAGTTCTTCTGTTTCACAAGAAACAATGAACGCTAGTGGTAGCATTTGTTTTACCAAGAATAACCAAGCATGAAGTGACATTCTATCCAACAGATTTTGCTGAGGAATTAATGATGCACAGACATATTTAACAAACTTCCTTTTATCAAATTTTGATGAATTGTTTTGTTGCTCTAGTTGAGAAATGTCCGTTGTTTTCTCATCGAACATAACACTAGCATCTGTGTAAGGAATGTGTAACGGATTGCTTGTTGAATCCGTAAGATCTGTATTTTTCTCCTCTGATAACGTATGTTCAGTCACAGTATCCCTAATTTCTTCATGACTTATATTGTTTAGGTTATGGATTGTTTCTTCTGCTCCTAAACAAAGTTGATTTTCATCTAAAATATCAACGTGTTTTGTTTCCATTTCGCATTCATCGACACTTTCAATACTTTCGGATTTAACATTTGGTTCTTGCCTCATGAAAACATTAAAAAACTCTTTCCCATCGTCGATAAAATTCCAAGTTATATCGTTTGCATTGTTTGCTAATTCAGCCATTTGACAGATTGCTGTTATTGCTGATCCATATACCCAAAGGGAAGCGTGCAACGATCCAGCTAACGTTTTAAAATCGACATCGGGCATATCTTCAATTTCAAGATAGTTTGTCAACGCCCATTTAAAAACGGAAATTCTTCGGTCTTCAGCCATTGATTCCATTAAATGAAATGACTGAATGTTACAAAAGTCATGAATAAAATCATTTTTGCATCCTTCATAATTAACAGCTGCAATGATTTTAATTGCATCTAGACAGATAATGTCAGCACAACCGGAATATGCATTTTCAAACAAATCAATAGGCATTTCTTCATCTGTGTTTATTTCTGTTTTTACACGAAGCTGTCTTACTATATCCATAAACTCAGCTCTCCTGAATTCAATGAGATTCATAATCATTCGACTTCCTGGCATTTTCATGATTAAAAAGTTAGTATCACATGAATAACACTCTGGCCCGGTTGGTTCTGGTATATGCTCAACGTTAAGATTTTCATCAAAGTGGACAAAGTTTCTCCAAACTTGCTGTCGTTCAGTTGTGAATTGATCATCAACAAAAACTGGACTTAGCAGATTTAATTGCATCAGTTGATATAAGTACATCGCGAGTGGCGATTTAATGATGTCTTGAATGTTTTTTTCTAGTGCATTTATATATGTGGCAGAATGAAGCAATGCTTGTGAATCGTTTGCTACACAAATGCACCAATTGCCGGTCTTCAGATAAGTTGACTGAATGTATGTAATGATCAGTTCTTTTATAACTTCTATTGCAAAACCACACGAATGCATCGAACTTAGAACTTCTTCCAGATTTAATAGCGAATTTTGTTTTGATGTAAATTGTATTCTTGATAATGCCCAAAATAATGATTCATTAATGAAATTCTTCAGATCTTTTGTTTTGACGATTTGGAGTTTTGTATTGTTGTAGAAATGCGGCAAATTAGACTCTGGCTTTGCAATAGTGTCTAAAAAGAGCAGGTTCCAGCCAGATAAGAAATTTAAAGGTACATCACAGCTCACAAATCTTTCTAAATGGACAACCATGCATACTTTCTTCTCTATAGTTTCAGGTGCATCCTTTTGTCGTTTTAACTCTCGTAGATATTTCTCGATGATTACTTTAGCCAAAAGTATATGTTGCCAATCACTTGAATACAGACATTGAAGTATCAATAGATCGTCACTTGAATGAAAAAAGTCTTCAACTCTCGATGAAAATTGCTTTTCAGATTTGAAAACTGCTAATTTGTCTCTTTGTATCCTTTTTGATTCAAACTTGTTCGGAATGTTGGAATGAATACTCGAGTAAGTGAAAATGCAAAACAAGCTGCTGTTTTGACTAGGAAAATTCGTGTTCTCGAAATAGTGTTTGATTCCATCATGTAAAGGAAGTGACAAGAATTGGTTAGTCGAATCTGAAAACAGAAATGGATGTTTTTCCGCAAAAACACTATCCTTTCCTCGAATAATAACTTCGGGAGGAATAAGCCATAATAAGGATTTAAACGCATTTGTTCTCAAATTTTCATCCGTAGCGATATCCGACGATGTTATTTGTTTGCAATGAACAACTAGTGATACCAAAAAATCTCTGCTAAACAAAGGAATGATATCACTGGGAGAGAACTCATGATATGGTATTTGACACAGATCTGACACATTATTCGAAAGTTCATCTACAACCTTCTGAAAAGTATCATTTTCGAGTAAGTCCGAAAACTTGAATTGTTGTTTCTCAAATCGGTTAAGGAAAGGTGGGTCAGAATAATCTAATTTGGTCTCCTCAACTAGAACTATACATTTAAAGCTGTCGTGAACATGACACATAGGGTTACTGTAATGTCCTAATGCTACTCGACAATTCTTCTTTTTGCCCACTATGGTGTAATTTTGATTTAGCATGTCATAAAGACTACCATATATTGATTCAAGATCTTTTAAAATGAGCACCATCCCTTGTTCCATACATAGAATGATTCTGCTCAAAATCCTGTAATTATAATCATCGCTCAAATCTTCTTCAAAGCTACTTCCAAAAATGATTTCGAATGGCAAGTTCATACTGGTTAATTCCCTTTCCAAAACGCTTATAACAGTATCTCCATTCGTTATCAACATAAGGTGTCGACATGCCTTGTCGTTCATATTTTCAGTTATTAATTTCATGACTGGTATATGTTGTGGTTTAATTTCAGGAATGTATTTTTGAAATGTATTAATTATATATTGCTGCTCAGTTGGAAGACCCCCAAAGTTTCTCAATATTCCTGTTAAAATTATTTCGGACAAATCGTCATCATCGCAGCGACCGATGTCATCTATTTTGCGCCCCACATATTTTATAAGGGAATAAAAGTCTCTAAGACCGTGAAAATGTTGGTATCGTTTCTCTTTGGAACAATATTCATAATATCCTTCAGCAAGTCCTTCCAATAGTTTGTTTAGTTTTTCCTCCCATAGTGAATGCTTTTTATCATTACTTTGTAAATTGATATTACCGACTTTCATCTGTTTCTTTTTTTTCATAATGCTTGAACTGATAGATTTTCCGGTATACTTTAACTCTTGAAGATCCATGTCCGGTCGTGAAAGATGAATTGCTCTGTTCATTTTAGCGGCGTCCAATGCCCAGTTTGATATTCCAACCACTGCGATGTTTAAATCTTTACCATTTGCAGGTTCTATCAATCCATGCAGAACTTTTAATGGATTAAATCGAGATATTTCTGCAAGCCCTATTTCATCTAGGATAACGACAGATAAGACATCTTTTTCGTCATTATGCAGCTGGTATTTTTCAGCTTTCTCAAACACTTTGATAATTCCATCAGATGTTGATGATTCTGAGCCTTGAAATGAAACGCAAAATAACTGTGGCATACCTTTAAACAACACATCTGTTGAGTCTTTGCCGCGTAAATTGCTCCGGATTAGCTGCATAGACAATGATTTGCTGCATCCGGGCTTTCCAACAAGAAAAATTGGTATTTTGCTCAGTATACAAACTAATAACATGAAAACATTTTCTTGTAAAGCAGTGTTTAAAGCAGTTCCTTCTGGAAGGTCTGTCATTCTATGCAAAATATCTTCTTGTTCCTTTAAAACGATATTTAAAATATCTGCTTCAGAAAATTTAAATCCACGTGACGACAAGATATCGCTTATGCCCTTTCTATACGTGCATCGAACTGAACCTATCGGAAAACGACTGTGATAACAAACTGCTAAGCCCAAAATGATTGCCTTTATGTTTCTTATTCGTATGCCTTCATTGTTGCGTGAATATTGACATGAATCTTTCTTTTCCAGAAATTCATCAAACCATTTTACAAGGCGCCGGCAACGGTCAACATCTCGCAAACTTACACAATATTCATTAATTTCTGCTGATCTCACAAACTTTTGTGACATATCCAGGAGGCATGCAAATAATTCTGTAAACCAGTCCTTGTGAAATAAAGAGCTTATCATTTTAAATATGTATGACTTTTCATCTAACTCACTAAGACTTCCATAGTCCCAGACATAATCTATGAGAGTTTCTGGTAAAGGATGTACTCTGTAAACAAGACGAGAAAGTTCGTCTGTTTTAATCTTAAGTCCTTGCAAACCTGCTGTCATGATCGCATCCGTCTTTCTCAGTCTGTATGGGTTGCATGCTGCCAGAAGAATTAAATTTGGTGGCATTTGTATGCCCTGGCAAAAACGATGACAAATTGCACTTGTAATAAGTCCTAGGTGGTCACATGTATTTATTTCATCTAAGAACAACCAATATTGATTCTTAGTGAGTTTTCTAGCATTTTGGCTTGCTTCCTTTATTCTTTCTTTAATTTGATGCTCGTCTGTACCAGCATGAATTGAAAATACCTCAAACGCTACTCCACATATATTTGCTAGATAGCGAATAAGTGATGTTTTACCACAACCTGTTTCGCCCATAATTAAAATTGGAAGTCTAGTGTTGACTCTCAGAGATATTAAAATCATTTTTAGTAAATTATCTGGTGTTAAAGCATATTCTTGTCGCAGTACACACAGTTGATTCTTTGAAATTGTCGTCGTAAATCGTCTCGAGAGCAACAGAAGAATTTCTTCTAACTCTAAAGTAGACTTTTCATTAAAATCATCCAAATTGCTGCCTTGTCTCTTGAATAAATAATCAATTGGCTTTGGTACGTCTTTCAAATTTCTATATAAAGCTGACACCGTTTGGACATTTTGGTGAAACAAAATGACTAAATGATTACTGTCTTCCCATCTAATCATTCCAGCTACACGTTCAGCCAAAACTTCCGAGATATCTTTTGAACCGACATCAACAATAGTTGCTGCTTGGGTGGATCGGCATGTGTGTACAGATCTTGCAGAAAATTCTCGAGAAGTATTCATCAATGCCGTGAAAAGATCCGATTTCACAGAGGATTGTTCATCTCCAAGCATGGCATTTAAAGTTGAAGTTCTGAAAAACACACTTGCCGAAAGTTTTTTAAGTTGATCTGCCAGTACACGGATAAAAATATTAACTAATGTGTACGACATGTCTCCTGATGCTGAGAAATGTAACCGCAAAAGACTCCTGCATTCAGTATACGGAAGCGGTGCTAACTTGTTTTGACCTGTGAAGTATAGATCTTTTACATCTAAAGTTGCAGTGTCCATTGCTTTCAAATAATGACAGACAACTTGAACAGGACTGTTTATCTCTGAACTTATTTTCAGGTCATTATAATTATCCCATTCGATGTGTTTCCGCTGAAAACAAGTTACAACTGGTAGAGAATTTCTTAACGTGTCTTTGACTGTGTTGGCGATTTCAATGAACATTTTTTCACATTCTAGTGCGTAAGCGGTAGATCCTACTGAAACATGTCTCAGTACAATAAGCTCAAATAAAAACAGATCCAGTTCATATGGGTCATGGATGGTTCCTATATCAACATGCAAGACATTGTATGGTTTTATACATAGTTTCATTAATTCCTCAATGATAAGTAACCTATTCATTGGGCCGCTGATATGTATGCAAGTAGATCTGGTTTTTTCTTTGATAGCTGAACTTTGAATATATTCACTTTTTCCTAATCCTGGAACTTCAGAGGTAACGACAGATATGTGTGACCAATATTGTTTAAAGTATTCCTTAAGTTTCAACTCTGACATTGGAGGTGGTTTCTGAAGCAAGTCTGAAAACTGATCTAAAAATGGATGGTTTGAATGTCCTCTACACAAAAAGCATAGCAAATATTTTCCAGGTGGTAATTTTCTAATTTCGTCATGGAGCAAAAATTGAATATCTCCTTGGAGTTTTTCTATATTTGCTATAGCAAATAAAGCCTTTGGTCCTTCATCCTCTTTCAGAATACAACGTTGTAATAACAACTTTATCTCATCAAATGTGGTATCCTTACGACAGAATAATATTTGATGTGCCTCGGGAAACGTATTTGTGGTATTTATATAAAGTGCTAAAAGCGTTCTGATAACCAGAGGACTATCCTCCTCCAGTGACGTCATATATGGTTTTCCAGGCTGCACTTTATCAACCATTTTGATATACCCAGACGTGGTAACTGAAATTTTGCTTGGCGAAGTTAAATCAGAAAATAAAAAGTCTAATGTTTTCCCGATATTTTCAAGTATATCTTTCTGACTATCTAGAGAAGGTAAAGTACGATAAATTTCTGCCATATCTTCCAAACTTTTAGTTACTGGGTTTATAAATTTCAAAATTGCTGCAACGATATCTTCGTTTTTTGCATCACCATGTAGATAGCGATATAATTCGTACAACTGGTTTGAGTATAGGAAATTCATATAGTAATATCTATTTCGACAGTCATTTATTTCAGACATCCAACTGTCAAACTGATTCTGAAGCCTATTTATTAATGATAACATATCATCCTTTTTGCAGGTTTTGTCGTAGCTAGAAAATTCAAAATGACCTGATTCCTTAAGTCGCATACAAAGATGGGCTATTTCAAATGATTGATCAACAAGGTTAACAAATATTTGAAGTTGTTCTTTTCTTGTACTTTTCTTGGTTCTATCTTTTTCTTCTGCGTTCATCAACAGGAGTGCTCGACTACGCAGGTCGCTCAAATCCGCGTTGCTGTGCTTATGTTTTTTTTCATTCTGTTTATATTTCACAGAAACTATGCAGTTCTTCTGATGCAATGAGAAGAAAATAATTCCGTTCTTGACAATGTTATCGATAACTTCAACTGTACGTTCACCTCTGTTTGCAACATTTCTGTACAATGCAATTAAAGAATGGAGATTGTCTCTACAAACAACAATCTTTTCAGCAACATTTTGAATACCTGTATCTGTTGTTTGGCTTTGCAGTTTTTCAAACAACCCTGAGATGTCAATCTGAAAATCTCCTTTGAGAATTGGTTGAAAAAATCGTTTTACCTCAATTAAATCAGAAACAGTTGATTCTCGAACATACTGTTCCGAATGTTCCTCAACAGCATCGATCAGATTACGAATGTCTTCGTCAATTAATTCTCTCAGGAAGTCAAGTAATGATGTTGAGTTTTCAAGGGTTTGAAGAATATCCCTAGTTTCAACTTTTATAACTGCATGAATAGACTGTATCTCATCAAGTAATGGTGATATCTCATTTAGAGTAACATCCTCTAAATCACCATTTAAAATGTTTTCGAATTTCTTTATTGTGTCAAAGTACTTTGAACCTTCTTGGTTACAAAAATTAAAAGCTAAGGTAGCAGCTTTGATTGTTTGTACCGTTTCTGTGTACTGTCGGATATTTGAAAAACAAACAAGGCTACACCTAGATGTTTGCTGGAGGTGTACATTGGTTATTTTCTCTCCTATATCGATTTCAGTCTCCATGTTTTCAATTCCATCAATTATTTTATGGAGTTCAATAATTTTCTGATCTCTGCCATCTCTGCAGTCGAGCCATATTTCTTGGTATCGTTCTAAACATTCTTCCCCTAACATTGAAACTACTTGCATTACGTTTTTTAGTTTGTCAATTTGTTCAAAATTAAAATCAGCTTTTACATGACCAAATAGTACTGGAAGAGATATCTCATCGTAAGCGCCAGCGTCTGCAATTGGGACTTGTTTCTCGTCTTCAACTGGTACTTGTTTTTCTGCAGCAACTGGGACTTGTTTCTCACTGGCATTCAGAAAGAAATTGCTGACGATATTCCAAAATATTTTTGACTGAATTGCTTGCTGAATATTTTTACAGCATATTGCTACTTCCTCAATTATAGAGAAATCAGAAGTTGACATATAAAACTCATCCACAGTGAGCGATCCATGGGCAAGTTCGTGTGTTTTCTTTGAAACATACTCCAACACTTCCTTAATTAAAGGTCGGAGTTCCCAGATGTTATGTCCTTGCATTTGTTTGAAAATGTCCCCGACTAATTTCAAGTTCTTTTGGTAATTCGTAAGTTTTTGTTTACAATTATCCCATGCCATTTCTATACTCTTTACATCTACAACTGTTGATAACACCCTTTTTACTTCAATTTCTTTTGTTTTGAGATAAATTAAATACTGACATGAAATTGTGTTAGCTTTTATTACTGCAATTGTTTTTAGTAATGAATCCTCTGCTAACCTCACTTTTGGATGTTTTTTAATTTCTTCGCTTTTTCTTCCAAAAAGACTTAATATTTGAAACCAAAATTTGCTTTTGTCCATCACTTTGGTGAAAACTTTTTCAAAGTATTCACCTTCTGTTATGTCTGTCATATCAAGGGTAGTTTTGAGAATGGTAACAATAACTCTGAAAATGATATAATAATATATCTATATATTAAATGACAGATAATTCAGATCATCCATGAATCTTTTTCAAAATATTTTCTAACATGTTTTTAGAAAAAGATTTACATTTAAATGCAATTTTAGTGTATACGTAGTAGAACATTGATAATTTCATATAAATTGCACAATTCATGACTTTCGTAATACTTTAAAGTAAATATTTTTGGCTTTGAAAACTCGCAATTGAATCTACTGCTATAACTTTTGGAATTTCGATATACCTCTTTACTTGTGAAAAAGCGTACCCGTAGACAACCAATACGTTACTCCTGACAAGATTAAACTTTAATGTATTTCTTGTCTGTTTATATATGGTATAATAATGTATCAAACGTAATATATTCTACTAACTATAATCGCGCAGGGAGAGCAACATGGAAATCTGGTAGGGTTAGACTTGTTTTTTTTTAAGATCTTGTTTAATATAGGAAAGCAATACGTTGTGGTAACATGGTGAGCTTTCCTCAGCAGAAGAACGTATTGTGATCTCAGATTTGAGTATTTCAGTATTTACGACAACGATGTTGACTGCAATTTCTGCATATACAAACACAAAACGATTTATGAGATTATCTAAGGGTCGATTTAGTAAAAAGTTACTTTCGAAATGATTTTCATCAAAACTCACGCATTTTATAAAAAAAAGAATTCGATGATTTTGAAATGTTTCTCTCTTCCGCAGCAAATTATGCATTAAGAGAAAAGGGGATCGCTAGTTACCCCTCGAATTCCCTCTAGTCAATTAATGAAGATTGAAAATCTTCGGGTCCTTTTAAAAAAATCATAACATCTCGGACTTGAATAACGTTCAGGTATCCATAAACACCATGACCACAACAATCTTATTATGTTTACCTCGGATTTTCACACAATCAAATACTAGGCGATCAACGTTGGAAGCAATGAATGTATGATTAAATTGTATTTCTCCTATTCAGAAGGCATAAAACAAAATAGAAGGTTTTTTTGTCAATAGAGTAAGGAAGTAAGTTTGTATTGGTTCTGGACTCGTCAGACTTATATCATACAAACGATTTCTGCTCATAGTTGTTTCAAGCTTGTAATTAATTCAGATTAAGTATGATAATTAGACATGTGCGCATAAAATGTGCTTTCCATAACTGATGAACCTAAAATGTGCTCGCCATAACATGAACCTTTAAACATTTTCTTCCTCGGAAGCGGTTCAGCTGCTCTATTGTGAGCTTTAACAAAGCACGCCTAGTTTCCCAAACCTACTTAACATCTTGACATGGCTTAGTTCATGAATTCAGAGCAAGATTAACGTTCTCAGAAATCAACCAATCAAAAAATACTGGATTTGGTATTTCGAGCTCAAATTTTGTGTTCCGAGTACCGAGTAAAGTTTTATGACCGAGAGTCCTTGGAGTTCATGTAACGTTGTTCGGAAACAAAAACGAAAGATATAAGGCGTTGACAGTAGATTGTACAGTTTAATTTTCAACTTAACGCAAACAATGTTTGAGCGAAGTATGGGTAAATAAACTCATTATATATGCCAGGATTACAATTTCGTACGTCAGACGCGAGTATCGTCTATAAAAGACTCATCAGTGACGCTCGAAAAAAAACCCCAAATAAAGTACGAAGTTGAAGAGCATTGAGGACTCAAAATTCCGAGAGGTTTTGGCAAATAAAGCTAAGGTAATAACCTTAAAGGTACCAATTTGACTGCACCAAATGCGCATTTCTACACTTGATATCTATTCCTTGGGTAGAAAATCCTTGGTATTTAAAAAAATCAATGTTTTGTAAAACAGTTAATTTATAATTATGACCATACCAGAGATACCCTCAAAGAGTTTACCTCCACCAGTAGTGGCATCGACCCAGTAGTTGTAAATAAATTAGGCTGTAAGTTTTCTAGTTTGAATTGTTTACATTTGTCATTTCGGGGTCTTTCATAGCGGACTATGCGGTATAGGCTTTGCTCATTGTTGAAGGCCGTACGATGACCTATAGTTGTTAATTTCTGTGTCATTTGGTCTCTTGTGGAGAGTTTTCTCATTGACAATGATACCACATCTTCTTATTTTTATATCATCATAGATACCAAGTTTAAAATTTTGAACGCCAGATGCGCGTTTTGTCTACAAAAGACTCATCAGTGACGCTCGAATAAAAAAGTTAAAAAGGCCAAATAAAGTATGAAGTTGATGAGCATACAGGACCAAAAATTCCGAGAGGTGTTGCCAAAAAAACTAAGGTAATCTATTCATGGGGTAGAAAATTCCTAAGTATTTCGAAAGAATACCAGATACCAGGCTTAAAAATAGGAGGTGAAATAAAAACGATTAAGAATCCGCTGAAATTACAAAAAAAATATCATATTGCTCAATCCCTTCAAAACAACGTTTACTTTATTGATAAATAAATAGGATGATACAATCTATACACTTTAGTAAAGAGATGCTACTTATGATGTGATAAACATGCCAAAATTTAAATATTTAACCTAAAGTGGATGTAAACAGAATTATGTTTATGTCCCTTTTGGTCATAAAGCTCTTGAAGATTTTTGGGTTTTTTAACATCTTTAGCATTCCGATTTTATGATTTGTACGGTCCATAATGCAGGTAAACACAGAAAAGTGCATTGGACTCAGTAAATTTATAATCAATTATTTTCATTTTACACGGTTTTAGAACAAATAAGATATAAGCCATGGCCTAACAAAAAAAATATTGTAGCAAAAACTGTTTTGGTCAATGATTTGGCTTATATCTAAATAGTAATGACAATATATCAATGTGGGGATATTTTATCAACGAAGGGTCAGGTAAGCTATTCTCATTACGTCCGTCTTCTGTTAAATTTTACAAGTTTTTTCTCTTAAACTACTGGGCCAATAGGAACTACACTTGACCACATTGATCATTAAGGTATCTTGACTTTTGTTTGTCCGATGATCCAGCCTGATACAACATGGCCTACACGGCTAAAAATACAACATAGGGGGTTGCATGCAAATTTTGTCTGTTATTTTGAAAACCACTACATAGAGAAAATCTGAAAGGATTGCAATGTTCAGAAAGATGAGATCTGCTTACTGTCCGTTTACATCAAATCTGTAAGAGGACATGTTGCCTTAAATGAAAAATATAACTAATTTGTTTCATTTTTGCATATTAAATATAAACTATAAAAGATAGAGAGAAACTAAATACAGCACAATTGATCCGCAGGACAACATCTAGAAACAATTTAACATAGCTTAAATCGTCAGTCGATCCTTGTTTTGAGTAATTGCCTTTAAAAGGCGTTTTTTACCAAATCTTTTTCATTTGTCCAATATCTTAAAACTATGATAGATAATGAGAAACTACAAGACAAGATCTACAAATATGTTAAATGGCAAAAATTGTCAGTTTACTCCTTAATGAAGTGATAACCCCTTAAATAAGATCAATAAATAAGTCAATATTGCCGAAATCGTTAGTCGACTCTTTATAGGAGTTATTGCCCTTAAATGACAATTTTTACCAACAGTTTTCCTTTTTGCTCAATATCTTGAAAACTGTAATATAGAAGAAAGATAACATTAAATAGCAATTAGGTCAACATGGCCCAAATTGTGTGTCTATTCCTTATAGAAGTAAATGCTTTGAAATCACGAGTTTTACCATTTTTTGCGTTTTGGCCTATTATCTTGAAACTATAAAAATAGATAGAGAGAAATTTTAAAATGTCAAAAATGCTCAACAGGACAAGATCTTTAATATGTCAAGATAGCCGATATTGTCAGTCAACTCTGTGTATGAGTTATTGTCCTTTAATGATGATTTTTTTCCCGATTTTTAGCATTTTTTGGGAAAACTTTGGTGGATATAGAAAATCTGTGAACAACAAAAATCATTGGTAGACAACATCTACAAATAGGTGAACAGAACCAAAATTGTCAGTTGACTCCTTATAGGAGTTATTACCCTTAAATGACAATTTTGACTTCTTTTAGTTATTTCGACAAAATTATAGTAGATAGAGAGTGACTGTAAACCGTATAAATAATCAGCAAGACATGATCAACAAAAAGGAGATTCAGTCATGAATTAAATTCGAGTCAACAATGCTGCAGACCCTTTGTCATCGTCGAAGATGCATAAAGAACCAGATAAGTCCCAATCATGCCTTCTCCTTTTGAGATATATGCGTGCATTTCTGTCGAGAAAAATGCTTCGCGTCGAAAATGATATGCTGTTTTAATATGAAAAAATAAACAAAAAAATTACTAACATTTTAAAAATTTTCTGGTTTGGATGTGGAGTTAATGTAAGAGCTGTTATTTTAGTGAACATGGACATTTATTACACTGAATTTAGTAAAGTATTTTTTCGTTTCGCAATATCATTATCATTAGGTTGAGGTGGTATGAAGGAGAACATAGAGTGTAAGCAGCTGGATGATACTGTCCGTAAAATATTTAATAAAAAAAGATAAGGCAAACCCTTTCAGAACAAGGACGAAGTAATCTTACAAAACAGCCGTCTTAAGCTGATAGAAAAAGAAAACGAAAATACAAATGCATGTATGCAAACAACCACATTGCGGACTGAAGTAAATATAAGAAAACTTGGTATTAAACCGTCGATGGGTAAGTGACACTTTCAAATATATATAGGAGCATACACATAAGCACGGAAAACTTTATTGGATTCAACACATTTTTCTAGAAGTTATTGATGTGCTCACAAATGACTAAAAGTTCGAAAAAGTTTTGTATTCAGTTTGTTACCCCTCCGTTGCTACTTTTTTCTTAAAATTTTAATTTTCCTCGAAACCACACGATTCCACATCGACATAGTTATGACGGGATTGCTTCCCTTAGTACAAGTTGTAGATACTTAGTCAGCCGTAAGCGGTTGAGCAAGGAATTACTTCTTTAAATAAAAGTGTTTAAATGGGTTACGAAAGTAATGGTCTTCGAAAGTGT